TCAACCGCAGTGCACATATCTGATTCTCATATATTTATAGTCATTATTCACCACTTGGAATGTTTATTTGGATCTAACATAATGACCAGCTCCCTGTTAGCTTGTTGGCTCAGTTGGTAGAGCGCTGCACCAGTATCGCAAAAGTCATGGGTTCAAATCCCGTACGGGACTGAATTTTTTTCAGGCTTTATTTAAACTACTAGTTCAGTAGCGTTCATAACTGTGAGGGTCGCTTCTATATTCAAAGGTAAAAGAATTGTAAAACTGTATCAAACAGGACAATTAACTCACGTTCGAACTGGTGTATTGAAATGCTATACCACACAAGTACAAGAACATGTTAAGGACGTTTTCAGGCTCAAATCGCAAAATTGAAAGAAAAGAAAAGGGTCAACCTCAAAATTAGATGTTCTTATTTGAAAAAGGAGTGTTTCTAGTTTCCTGCATGATGTGGCTTATAACCGCACGCGTGTTCCATCATTGGGACATTGCGCAACTAATTACAAACGTTTCAGACGTTCATTCGTATCACACGCGATCTTCCTATTCCAAGAATACAGGAATGCTTTTTTGAGCCTTTTTTTTAAATAACTCTATGTTAGCGTATAGAGAATGGTATGTTGCTCACACCAATCAGATCGCCGCATCAGGGTATGTATCTCGCACCAATTAGAGCGTCGTTTTGTTCTTTGGTTTGAGAGGTGTTGAAATTTCAACGAAGTACTGGCGGGACTCGTGGAGAGCGGTTCGCAAAATGGAATCATCTTTTAGAATGAGAAATGTTGGCTTTTCTGTGTTTTTAATGTGTATTTTACCGCGCTTTATGAGAAATACGATAATACTGGACAGATGTAAGATATTAGATTACCTATAGTAAACGTGTTACTCATGCTGTGAAAATGGTGGACAGTTGTTCGAGAGAAAATGGAGCTCTGTAGCACGATCTTGGTTATTGTTCCTTCATGACAAGAGTGAGAGGAAAAATTGTGATTCAAATATTGCTTGAGGTGTTAAATGGATCGCACCAAACATTTTGAAGCTTTGGAAGCTTTGTCGCCTCGTGTGACATCGTGTTTGATTGATATGCAATGTTAAGAGGTGTTTTTATTGAACAACGATTTTTCTGCGAAAGATGGCTGAGTTTTACCTTTGGTGGTTTGGTGTTACTCTTGGATCGGGTCTTTCGGTGTCAGAAGTTTGAACAGCTGCAAGTGTGTTGGAAGATAGATTTTGTGTCATCATTGGCTGTTGAGAGAAATTGTTTGGCTGTTTCGAGGGTAATTATGAGAACACTGGACGAATGGAAATATTTCCGATGCCTGGAGAAAGTGATCTTGTGCGGTAGTTAGATAATGGCGTAATATGTGACTAACATGTGACTACAGTCTATAGACTGTACGATTTTGCGCCACTATCTGCGTCGGTGAATACGCTGTAAGTTTTAAGGCGTCAACTAACGGCGTAAAATCTTACGGTATATAATATACCGACTGGAAGAAATTACGCCGTTAGTTACTAGCGTAGAATCTTACATATATACACTACCGACTGAGAGAAATTACGCCGTTAGTTACTGGCGTAAAATCTTACATGTAAACACTACCGACTGCAAGAAATTACGCTGTTAGTTACTGACGTAACCTCTTACTCATATACACTACCGACTGAAAGAAATTACGCCGTTAGTTACTGGCGTAAAATCTTACATATAAACACTAGCCTACTGAAAGAAATTACGCCGTTAATTACTGGTGTAAAATCTTACATATAAACAATACCGACTGAAGGAGGTTACGCCGTTAGTTACTGGCGTAAAATCTTACATGTAAACACTACTGACCGAAAGAAATTACGTCGGTAGTTAATGGCGTAAAATCTTACACGCATACACTACCGACTGAAAGAAATTACGCCGTTAGTTACTTGCGTAAAATCTTACATATAAACACTACCGACTGGTAGAAATTACGCCGTTAGTTACTGGCGTAAAATCCTACATGTAAACACGAAAGACTGGAAGAAGTTACGCAGTTAATTACTGGCGTAAAATCTTACATCTAGACACTACCGACTGGAAGAATGGTAGATGGTAGATTACTATCAGATGGTAATTTGTTTATTTTTTAAGTACAGCCAGACGACATCGACACCTCGTCCGTGATGGTAGCTGACGATTATATAATTTCACTTGAAAGACGACTACTTTTCTTTAAGGAAAATGTTAAACGAGAGTCCTATGCGTGACGCAACCAGCACACACAATTCCTCCATTAGGATTTAAAATCTCAGACAGCCTCTACTTTTAGGTCCATCGGGTGCTTCACCAACATTACCAACTGCGTAAATATGAAAGCGATCTTAGCAGTACTGAACACTACTCAAGCAGAGGTGAAAATAGGGCGTGTGCGGGATTTAAACCCATGACTTCTGCTATTCCGGTGCAGTGCTCTACCAACCAAGCTGACAAGTCAACTGGGAGCTGGTCATTCTGTTAGTTCCAAATAAACCCGTTGAAAATCTTATATGTGAACTGCAGATAAAGAAGTGAATGAATATCAGTCTTTTTTGTTGAGAAAATGTTTCCGTGATCTTCTTGATAAGCGTCGGGCTAGTAAAAATTATAATTTTTTACCAGAAGAACAACACTCAGGACGCCGCAGAAGAAAAGATATTTATTTTCGGGGTTACAATGGATAACGAATACTCAACATTTCTTCATACCTTCGTTAGATTGATTCAAAGTGATCAATGCAGGAAAAAGAAGACAGTTGCCTGACGTTATGTTGTTGCGCAAAGTGACAATGGGTGTGTTCTGATGATGTAGAGATACTTACTAAAGCTTTCCTTTTTTGCATTTGATTTGTGAAGATGATAGCAACTCAATTTTATAATAAGCTTGCCAAGCTGGTAGTTACAAGTCACCACTAAGAAACAAGCGAAATTTGGAATATGTAAAATTCATTTAACATTGAATTTAAAAAAATTTTGCTTATTTTCTTCAAAACAATGTTGTGTCCATTGTTTTTTGTAAGTTTTCCTATTTGCGGCGTTTTCGTGCGTTCAGGCCCGTTTTGTTCTTACTTGCGACATGGGTTGTTTTACGATAACGTCACTGACCAACCCAAATTTTCATCTGAGTTAGTTTATCAAATCCGGTAAACATGATGGATTGTTTTAAATAAAGAACAAAAATAGAATTAAGGAATAAAACGAACTGTGGTTCAAACCGCACTTCGAAAACAGCGGCGATCAAAAATAGACGTGCACCTTTTACTCTTGCCTGGCGGTAAAGTTCAAAGCATATAAAAAACCAAACGTCATATAATTGACAGTGGGAGCCACAAATAAATTACCATAAAGTTTAAATTTTCAGAATATATGGACTGACAGCTAAAATCAGTTCACGAAGCTTGAGACTGGGAGTCTAGCCTTCAAAGTCGCATCTTGATTCTGTCCATCGGTTTAATCTTTTCTATCAATGTCCAGGTTTCATTTCAAACGACAAAGAAAAGTACGTCCATGCTTGATCTTTGATCGGAAATGTTCCGAAAACAAGCCAGTGACAGTTCGCCAACGAACAGCGATGTTTCAGATCGAAAACAATGATTCATCATCACTTGCTGGTCAAGGGAGTAAAGAAGGTAACGCGAAACGGCAAAATGAAGGCTTGTCAAATGGCGATGGAGGTCCAGAGAATTCCTTGGACGGGACAAACGACTATTTTGCCATTCCGACAAGAGGCATGTTTTCTCTTCGGAAAAGGAATTCAATGAAGAAAACCCCTGAAGAACTGGCGATTCGTATGATCATAATTGAACAGACTTTGCAAACAAGGCGAAATGCAATATGCAAGGAAATAGAACGAAAAATGTATATTCAAGGGGCATGTTTAGAAAAGCACCGTCACAATTTGCAAATCACCCATGAACTGATGTCTCGTGGTCTGTTATGGCCATGAACACTAAAGTTAATTTACAAGATGCAATGTATTTGAGGTAATTTTTACCTATGATTTCATAAAATTTTAGAGACAGGTACAGAGATCACCACTATAAGTTTTTACGCAACACAAGGAGTTAGTTAGTATCCGTTTCTCGTTTCGATAATACAGTAATTAAACAATCGTTCTAAACCTAACACGAAAGTGTAAGTTAATCAGTTTGTTTTGAATACGTACATTCTCCGTTGCTTGCCTTCAAATTTGTTTTTAAAACAGTTTTGAGATATTTTGATTTGTGAATGTATTGCGACTCTAGCGGGAAATTTCGACATAGACCCTTCTTCCAATACATGAATGAGATTTAGCCATCGTCTGGCGACTGGCGATCGGGGAAAAAGAGAAAAAGAAGAAAGAACATGTTACAGTCTAAATGTTATGCAGACGCACTGAAGTGTAATCCACAATGCGCATTTTCTTTAAAAAATCTTTACGGACCCTATCGAAAGATTTTATTTGGTACACAAATGTAGTAATTAAATATTCAGGGAAAGTACGCATTCTAGAACCAACGGTACAAATGATTACGTGAGAGTGATTGCAATTCAGCACAGTTACGTTTTCTTTTCTTGTTGTAGCTTCATCGGAATGAATGAAAAGAAAATAATTTTTCGAAGTACCTGAGCTAGCCTGATCTATTGACCACCCTATCCACTGACCCCATTGTTTACGTTTTTCATTTTAATGTTACCGTTAACCCTCCGGAACCAGATAGCTTAAAATGAGAACAGTATTAAAATCCTGATAAATAGTCTCTGGTTATAGAATGTCGTACGATTAACTTCATCAAACCTTATTCGAAAAGTAGGTGTTAAAATACATTTGGTCCTAACTATATTAATTGCTGTAAGCAACAGAACTTGATGAACCAGAAATCTGTAAGTAAAATGATAAAGTGTAAAATGATGATTCATGAGTTCTGATGATACTATCTATAATAATAATGGTGTTCTCTATAAATTGTGATTGACCTAAAATTTACCTCGATTGTTTGTAATGCAAAAAGGAAAGTTTGGCACCCGCATGTTTTTTTTTCCTGTCTCTCCAAAGATCACTCACCACTCCTTTATAACACCTTTAGAGGGTACTCATTTTCACTATTGCACTATTAAGAATTCAATGAAAAATGTATTGCTTTCACTTTAAAAACTACTTAAGAGAAAGATTTTTCAGACTCAACTTTTCCCGAAAGAATCGCCTGACCTTTTCGCAGACTTATTCGACCCTGCGCCAAAGGAGAATTAAAAACAATAATATGGAAATAATCCAAATGAAATAGTTTTAGATTGGTATCCTTTTCTTCGCCTTGTGATTGATGGAGCACAACGTTCTCAACCAATCAGATACACCACTAAACCCAATCGAGACTTGGCCACTCGCCATTTCCTGCGATTGACTCGATTTCCTTTTTTTTTTTTTTTAATTGAGTTCTAATCGGCGTTCGGTGAAATTTTGTCTTCGTCTTGATTAGCCGTTAGTTTTTAAACATGGGTTTTGAGACGCTCATGGAAATGTTGTTTCACTGTTCATATTCCATCAAGTCATCATCCTGGAGGCCGCAAGATCTCCCAGGTCAGTATTTGCCTTAAAACCATTTCTGTGAACTCATTGCGGTTTGGTTCGTATTACACCTTGTGGCTAGGCCTACTCTTTTGGTTTAGGTTCATAAAACGCGTGAACAAAGCCTTTCGTCATAAGGGTCGCGCGCTATGCAGTCCATATAGTTCAGGTGTCAGTTGTGGATTGTGATTGTGAGCACCATATTCTCCATAACCATTACCAGTAATGACGCGAAAGCTGAGTTTATGGGACACAGCAAAACCGTCTGTTCCTTCCAATTGGGTCAAAAGAATCAGAATTTGCCTGCAAAATAAACAAGGAAGAAAAGTGTCACATTTCTTTTTGATTTTGACGACACAATATGACTTAAATGGCTGTAAGGTCAAACGAGTCTAACGGCCCATCAGGAGCATAGCTATTACCACTGGACAGGATGCTATTCCACCTCTGATACCCAAGCTGCAGTCTCCCTGGTATTCCGCTGATAGCCTTCGATACTCCAAGGCATAGAGGGGCACTGTAAGAGTAAAATGTCTGCCCCAAGTACGAAACACAGAGACTCCAAACAGGATTCGAAACCAGGCCTCTCAATTCAGAGTCTTGCGCATTAATCACATATTGCGGCCCCTCCAAGAGGAATAAGGCGATGGAACAATATATATCTTACTTGTGAAGGGGTGGGACACAGTCGGTGGTCATTAGCACTCCTCTTGATGAAACCACATTGAAGCTCTCTGAGCAGTTACACTCTACTAGCAAGTGGTGATCTGGTCGGCGGTTTTCCGCTACAACAATTAATCCCGCAATCCCTTGTGCCATGTAGTAACATGTGACTCCTTCAATTCCCTAGAAGAAAAAAAAATTATGTAACTGCACCTTAGAATATCATTCATTCCTCACTGTCATTGTTTTTTACAAGAAGTTACATCCTTCTTCTCAGTTTAGCTCACTCTCCACACGTTATCGAAAATTCAGTCCACCAGAGGGAGAGTTTTTCGAAAAAAAAGATCTTTAGCGTGATTAAAATTGAAAACACCGGCTACGTGAGGATGAACTGAGCGATCGAAAACATAGAAACTATAAGTTGTATAAACTGAAATTCATCACGGGTCGAGGCGGAGTTTTGCTTTTAAATTTCAACAGTGTGCGAGGGTGAATTGATTGAAAACGACAACGTGACGCCGTTCATGTAAAATGCAAATGAAATTCATCAGATTTGAATTGACAAATTTATCCTCACAAGCAAAGCTAAATTCTGGAAAAGAACTAAGACCATTCAACTGGGGTTTAGCCTACCAGATACTGGTTGAGCGCGGCTAATATCGACTGAGATACGAACCTCATGTTAAGAGCGAGTTTAATTTACGTGACATGGGTCCGTAAATCTCATTTAATCCTATGTTGTGGTACTCTTTTTTTTCAGACTTTATTTCTCATCAATTGTTTTTATCATTATACTCCACCTGTAGAATAAATTCGTCAACATAACTTCTTTCCAACAGCTTCTTCTAGAGGTTCGAAAAAACCCACGTACATATATTTATCATTTGAAGTTAGAATCTTCTTTGAAAGGGTTTTTTACAGGCGTGCTATGAAACCAGCCCCTACCTCGTGCCGTTTGCCTTTTGTCGTAGCCAAATGCAACAGCGAATCAGCCAAAGAGTAATCTGTCATTGGAACCTGGTCTACCATGACAGCGCGGGAGCTGTGAATAGTGAGTACGTAACTTGGAAAAAGTTCTTCACCCACTAGTCCTTTCACGAATGATGCTCCCATAGCTTCATTACCACTTGCTTCTAATAACTGCCAATGGTTAAAGGCTGAACAAACTATAAAAGAAAATCCACAAAGTAAATTAGCTACAAATCAAATCCCGTCGAAGCTTGAGTTTTCTGAGACTTTTTCGCAACGAAAATGTTGCATTTATTTTTTAACAACAATTTGTCACTTGTCGTATTTGTCATTTATTTCCTTTTTAACTTTATCAGTTATAAGTAAGTCTATCGCGTGGAGCAGATACATGGAGGAACCTACCAACCAACCAAACAAACAAAAGTAACCTCTGACACCTAATAAATGAAAAGTAGGATACTATGGCAGATATAAAATATTTGCAGAAGCGGCACTTAGTTTTATTTATTTTACACATTTACCACGCATGCATATACATACCAATCATATAGGTTCCTTCTTCCAGAATACCGCTACACGATACATTGGACTTCACTTGCCTCTTACTGTGGCAAACGAGTGAAAGAGGCTTGGGATTTGTTGTATCGGAGGATGTGCGACACACAATGATTGACAGATCAAGGAGAGCTTTATTACCTTCCGACTTCCCCCTGAAAGTGATCCAACAAGACATGGCTTTAATTTGGAAAAAGGGACGGAAATGGCGGGGAGCGCAAAAGCTGAAAAAGAGAAGGG